TATATATATATATAATATAAAAATATATATATACACATACATACATACATATATATATGTATGCACACGCACGCACACACACACACACACAGAGCTTCACAGGGAGAAAGAGAGAGTGGGAAATTGCATCACATGAATGCCCACGTCCAATTAGGACCGGAGTCGCGTGACCAGTTTTCTCCAATCTTTTCCACGACTGGAGCTTTAATGCCTATGTCCAATATGAGGAGACAGGTCACGTCATGCAATTTGCATTCTCTCCCTGTGAGGTTCTCTAGTAAATAAACACGATATCTCTTCACTAACATTATAGGGCATACGCGATACCCAAAAGAAGTTAGATATTGGGAGTACAAATTAGTTCGGTCCGTTTTTTTGTATTAAAAAATGCATTTATATCAAAACAAAATGAATGAACAGATCAATTAAAGTATTGTCCATCGCTGCCTACTACTTTTTCCCATTCTCTCAGACAATTTTCGAATTCCATCTCGAAAAAATCGTCGACTCGTCTTTGGAGGCGATCCAATTTTGGAGCCAATTTTCAATTTCTGCGAAAGAAGTGAACCGGTGACTTGCTAAATCGTGCTGCATCCTTCGGAACAACTAGTAATCAGAAGAAGCAATGTCCGGAGAATACGGTGGGTGCAGTAAAACATCCCATTTGAGCGTTTCCAAATATTTTTTTACGACTTTAGCGACATGAGGCCGAGCGTTGTCATGAAGAAGAATAACTTTATCATGTCTTTGCTCGCATTCCGACCGTTTTTCTCGCAATGTGCGATTCAAACGAATCAATTGTAGCCGATACCGATCGCCCGTAATGGAATCGCCAGGTTTCAGCAGCTTATAGTAAACAAGATCCTTTTGGTCCACCAGGCAACGATTGACCGCTTAGCGTAGTATTTTTTCTTCTTGGAGTTGTAAAATATCTACTTCTTATCTCCAGTCATAATCCGATGCAAAAAACCTTTTCTTTGTTGTCTTTGAATCAGCTGTTCGCAAGTCAAAAATCGCCTTCCAATGTCTCTCGGTTTCAGTTCATAAGACATCCAATTTCCTTGTTTTTGAAAAAATCATTCCTATGGCTCTCAATCGTACAGAAACGGCTTGTTGAGTTACCCCCAATGATTCTGCAAGCTCCTCTTGCGTTTGACTCTGATCTTCTTCGAGTAATGCCTCTAATTCTTTATCTTCAAATTTTTTTTTTGTCCAGAGCGAGGCTTGTCTTCAACGCTGAAATCTCCATCCTTGAAACGTCGAAACTATTTTCTACATGATTTATCAGTTGGAGCAGTGTCACCATAAACTTCGACAAGCACTCGATGGGGTTCAGCCGCACTTTTCTTCCAATTAAAGCAGAAAATCAAAACCTCCCGCAAATGCTGCTGGGTTAACACAAAATTCGACATTTCAAACATAGTAAAAATCAAGGTTTTTGTATGAAACTCAAAGCGATATAAACTGAATATTAGCAGATGTTTAACCTCTCTAAAACCGCCAATATCAGTTGTCACTATGAGTCATTCACAATAGCTGGAGCCATCTTTAGGAAAACGGACCGAACTAATTTGTACTCCCAATATATATGTTAATTTTATTTTGTGGGCTGGCGGTGGTATTTTAATGAAAATCTCAGTAATACAGCTATGAACTTTTGAAAATCCTGCAATCTTCAATTTTATTAAGTTTTTTATTTTGGAAATATTACGTTTTTCGTTTATAATTAAAAAATCATCATCATCACTATTTGATGACGATGAAAGAAGATCGAGTATTACTAGCATATGATTTTCATTTATATCAATTCCTGCCGTCATATTTGCATCCAATCGACACCGTCCCTCGGAGCTAGATTTTTACACGAAAGTGCGAAACTCAGCATTAGATTTACCAATGAAACAGCGCGATCTTCGTGCGCATTAAAATCCTTAATGAAACATCGCGCCTAATGCGCATAGTGTATGCTAGTTCTCCCAATGAAAAACGCTATAAGACGTTTGCAGCGCGCTGGCGATCGACAGTTGAGAAAGCTTAGCGGAGGTCGAGAATATTCAACTTCCTGATTACTGTCGGTCGCTTGAACAGAAATGCGGATGACGGAGTTTCTCTTTTCGGCTTAATGGGAACACGCAGAGCGTGCTCAATCCCCTTGTTTTCGCCCTCTTAGTGGAAAACGATCGAAGTCGATCGGAAAGCGTATCAAGAGCTCTCAATAGAGACAAAGTACGCCTTACCCGCATGCTCTGGACTGGCACTGGAATCGATAGTAACATAACAGATCGGAATACTGGCTACAATAGGATCTGGTTGGCACGAGGATTGTCAGGAAAAAGAGAACTGCGACGAGGAATACAATATCTTTTATAGTCGTAAAATAATGTTTTCTCGTCGGAGTTCGGCAGCGTTTGGTCATAATATATATATAGTATATACAGTAATGCAACTTTCTGTCGGTACTTTTGATGTTAGTGTTTCCCAAAATGTAGTGCGAAATAAGTAAGTTCCCAGTAGCGCCATCTGAATTTCTTTCTCAGTTGCTCTTTATTTTTCTGCCCGCTCTTTCTCTCTCTCTCTCTCTCATTCTCTCTCTTTCTCTCTCTCTCTCTCTCTTTAGGTCGTTTATACATCAAAGTTTAATCTAAATGTAATAAACTAAAAGAAATAGATAATTGTAATGCACTGCAAAATAAAAAAAAAATACAAAAATAAGAAGATATAAAATTATATAAATGTTGTATGATACAAATATTATAATTAACTGTAAAAATATTTTAATTAACGACTGCAGCACACGATACTTATTTTTCTGCTAAATCGCTTGCGTTTTAATAAATTATTAGAATTGCACCACACAAAACGCAGATTTTCTAGTTAAAACAAAAGCAATTCAGTTGGAAAACAAACAACGTACTTAAATCGTTAAAGAGAAACAATATTTAAATGGCTCTGAAAGAGAGAACGGAAAAAAGAAGAAGCGAGATAGAAATTTAGATGATGTTACTGGGCAACTTGCTTATTTCGCATGTTGCTAAGTTCGCGCTTCATTTTGGGAAACATAAATCAGAAGAGTTGCGCTACTGTATATACTGTGGTTCCTTACTATGGACTTCCTTTATCCGAGCTCCCCCACGAGTATGCCTTTTAGCGCTATCTCGTGGATCGGGGGGGACTCGGCGATACTCAGTCGTGTTCGGGTTTCGCGGCCGAACACGGAGTCTTCGTTGCGAGTTGTTGTCACCTGTAAATTTTGTTTAAAATAATGTCGGGCGCACCGCGGCATCTAGCTTAGTGAAAAGCCAGGAACGATGCATTATCTGGGGGTGCATCGTTACAATTTTCTACAAATCAAAAAACTGTTATGCAATTTAAAAATAGCTTTTTATTTGTTTATTGAATAAATGATGAAGTGATTCGATATTCTTCCTACAGTTGTTGGTTTAATGTAAAATTTTTACAAGTACATGTATAATTTCAACAATTATATAAAAATGCTTTTGTCCTATGTTTATTTATAAACTTTATTTATTTCCAAAAAAATTGTGAAAAAAAGAGAACATAATTCGATTGTGCAATCTTCAATCTTGGCCTAGTTTCCACCGAAAGTTTAATCCGGATCAGAAAGAACCAACACCAACTACAGTCAAGTATTCCCCTGTTACAATCGAACAACAGGGGAATGCTCGACTGTAATTGATTGATTTTTATTTTCCATTTTGATCCGGTTTAAATCCTCAGTGAAAACTAGGTCATTGTAACCTCGCACCGCGAGACCAGGCCGAGTTCTTGTAAATAATGTTTATGAACGCGAATATACAGAGTGATTTAAAACAACTTAAATATAAAGAAACATATTCCTGATCGAATTTCGACAATTTTCCTTTACGAAAATTTTGTCCGAAGCTTAGTTTTCAAATTACAAGAAGAAATAGCGTATCACAGAAATGATAATGGAATCGACATCGAATCGATATCGATTCCATTATCCATTTCTGACTGGGAAATCGCGTATAGGAGACGGGCATAGTGGCGTTCATGATTAGAGCGCTTTATGCATGAGGCACACACTGATCGGATGCATTCACACGTTTATAAAAACACGTTTCTTGTTTTTTTTCCCCTTATTATACTATTTTTTTATCTTTCACGTACTTTAAATAAGCTAATTTCATTAAATTATAAATTAAAATGATGAAATTAAAATGAATGTTGGATCCCCTTTGAGTATTGTCGGATTGTTTGTTTTTTTAATTATATTAATAAAATTGTTAGAGAAATGTCAAAAGAGTGAAATTACACAATAATTACGTAACATAAACATTACAAAACGATTATTGACATGCAAATTATACAATTATTTCAGTATTTCAAATTCTAAGAGCGTTTCTTACAATTCGACATACTGAAATATTTGTTAGACTTAAGTGTATGTTAATAAGCATTATAATATTCGTGGCACGCAATTATCTAATTTTTTACCTTTACAAAAATTTCTCTCAATTTTATTTGCATTGTCGCACTCGTGGCATTTATTACATATTTATGAGAAGTTTTATGAGAGACGCGATCGCACACTTCTTAGCATTCAAAGAATTATGATTACTCTATAATATACTTTTTTGTTTTCTGTTTTTTGCTATTTTTACATTGTCTTTTTGCTTTTTATACGATTTTTATTTTATGTCGCTCGAGATAAAACAAAAGTAGCGAACTTCGAAAGATACAGGAAACACGTAACAAAAAATATTTATCGACAAAACAGTTGCAAAGAGGAAAAAAGCAAGAAGTAAAAAGCAAGAAACGTAGCATGTAGAATAATTTTTGTGAATATTTAAAACAAAAATGTAACCTAAATATACTTTAAAATCTTATTAATTTACGAAAACATTTAGTTTCGAGAAAAACGTGTTTAAAGTTTTACAATCGATTAGTTCATGCATCTGATCACATGCTACTCTATTACATATTTATTATAGTTCCGTTATGAATTTCAACATAATATTTTAGAGACATATTTTTAAGACTCTAGCATTACAAAAATGCAAAAAAAAATTAACTTTTTGAACCCGTCACAGTGTCATTAGAATTAAGTAAAAATAATAAGGATAGTATCATTCTTGTGTTTTATTTTTTAAAAGTTACTATTATTTTTTTAGGAAAAAAATGTTAAAATAAAAAGACTCAATGAAAATATAAAAGGTGTATCGTATTATTACTTACTTAGTAAAGATAGTTTATTATACTTAGATTATACTTTTTTTACCACTTAGATTTTTTTATTTGATACACTAGTTTTTTTAAAATATATATCATCTAGATTTTATCATATTTAGGTTTTATCGTTTATTTCACAATTAATTATAATGAATGAATTACCTTTACAGATTGTATCCAGATAAAACATCGTATTTATATCGTCAAGTGTTATTTCTCCATTACTTTTTATGTACATATTTCTTATTTCTTCACGAAGTCTATTTTGAATAGTATGATTTAAAGCTAATTCATACAATGTGTTACATATTGTTGTAGCAGATGTATCAAATCCAGCCAAGAAGAGCATAAATAATTCACAAACAAAACGTTGATCCGACATTTCTGCAAAGAAAAAATACAAAAGTTGTATATTAATTGTTTACTGATATCGTGTTACATATAATAATATTCAATGCATATTTTAAAATAATGCAAAAAGTTTATGATAATCTTCTAAGATAATTGCATTTATTTCAAATATGCTTTAAATAAAATTTCTGTAATATCTCAAAAATCTAGTTTTATTATCTTAAACATACAGGACTGTTATACTGACTCCTCTTATTCATATACATATTTGTATCAATTTAACTTATTATGTTAACTTATTATGTGTTCGTGAAAATTATATGACAGATTTTTTACAAGTTGATAACTATGAAATATCAAATATATAATATAATAGGCTCAAGTATAATAAATAATAATAGTATAAATAATAATAGTATAATAAAATTAAATAAGATTATGTTAAGAAGAGCTACAAGCCAAAATAACAAATTTGATGTACGTGATGCAAATATACAAATAAATAGACATTAAAATAACAAATATTTCGACTCCGATCAGGTCATCAATGTTAAATATATCTTAGTATATAAAATGGTTGAAGTACAAAGGCAAAATAACAAAGATTATTTATTTAAAAAATTTGATGGCAAGAATAGATGACCAAAGAATAGATATTAGATATTTAGGCCATAAATTCCATTCCAAAAAAAAAAAGAAACGCTGAGTACGAGTGCAAAATGTCGCTTATAACGTCATTTAGTCATTGGTTTAATTCCTTCTAATATAAATAGTAATTTAATTCCTTCCAACATAAATAGTAAAAAGAAAAATTGAATTCTATAAATATATAAAGGTGGACTGTATAAAATTTGAAATATATAAAAAGTCAAATAATATAAATTGAGTGGTACAGTAAAAAAAATGAATATAAATTCTATAAATATATAACTGTATGAAAGTGGATTATAAAAAAATTTTTAGAAAATATAAATAAAAACTTAATAATGATTCTTATAAATAAAAATAAAAATGGGTAATCGCAATATGTATAAGTGTAATCTGCTAATATAGTGTCAGATAGTAAAATTTAGTCCGAAGTGTAAGATTATAATATAATATGATATAAAATATAATGGAAGCAAAATTGCAATGAACCATTCGTTTTTATCAACCAGTATAAATGATATAAATGATAAATGATGTATAAATGATAAGTGAAAATAAATAGGAAATGAATTAAGCTCGATGTTTGGATTCCTCACAAGTTGAGTGTTAGGAATATGATGGACCGAATTAACATTTGTGATACGCTACTGAAACAGAATGAAATTGAGCTATTTCTGAAGAGAATGATAACTGGTGATGAAAAATGGATCACCTACGACAATCCAACTAGAAAAAGATCGTGGATAAAGAAAGAAGAGGAAGCGCAAGCAATCGCAAAATCTGGATTGACGAGGAAGAAGGTGATGTTATGTGTGGTGGGACTGGAAGGGAATCACTATAAGCTGTTATTGTCCAACAATCAAACAATTAATTCCGAACTCTACTGTGAACAACTGCAGAGATTACACAAGCAATTGAGAGGAAGCAGCCAAAATTAATCAATAGGAGAGGTGTCGTCTTCCATCACGACAACGCTCGACCACACACATCTTTGACTCAGCAAAAATGCGAGAGCTTGACTGGGAAGTTTTAATGCATCCACCGTATAGTTCTGACATAGCACCCTCAGACTATCATTTGTTAGGTCTCTGCAGAACTCTCTTAATGATGTAAAACTAGCTTCAAAAGAGGCCTGTGAAACTTGAAGCAGTTTTCGATCAGAAACCACAGAAGTTCTATCGCGATGGAATTATGGCTCTGCCCTAAAAATAGCAAAATATTATAGAAAATAATGGAGCATATTTGGTTTAAATAAATTGATTTCAATACTCTAAGAAAAACACTTTAATTTTACTAAAAAATCGCCACGAACTTTTTCCCATACTCAATATTAATCCACGATGATAATATGCCGCCGTATCTCATAGTTGTGCATTGTTTTCCACTTAGTCCTTTGTTGCATCTGAGTAACATATTCCTTTGACCAACGCTTTCAGAAAGATTGTTGTAACTGGGTTAATAATTGGTAACGGTTGATGCGATTCGAAGATATCTCCAGAAGTAATGCTTCCCATAGTGTGGGAACATATGGTGAGAAGGTTCACAATGGCTGAAGGAAAATCGAGTGTACTGGCTGAAATCTACAGTTCAACTACTGGTTGAAGTCCCTGAGACGCATAAGAGATACATTATCAATGATAACCGATGATTATGTTGCGTGATCACTGATAATATCGTACGTTTGATCATCTTCTTAGACATAAAGTCAAGTCTTGCTTCATAACGAAGTATATCGAGATTGGATTGCCAAATCCTAATATCTTATTGGGAGTACAAATTAGTTCGGTCCGCTTTTTTGTGCATTTATTTCAAAACAAAATGAATGAATAGATCAATTAAAGTATTGTCCATCGCTGCCTACTACTTTTTCTCATCTCTCAGGCAATTTTCGTGTTCCATCTCGAAAAAATCGTCGACTCGTCTTTGGAGGCGATCCAATTTTGGAGCCAATTTTCGATTTCTGTGAAAGAAGTGAACCGGTGACTTGCCAAATCGTGCTGCATCCTTTGGAACAACTAGTAATCAGAAGAAGCAATGTCCGGAGAATACGGTGGGTGCGGTAAAATCCCATTTGAGCGTTTCCAAATATTTTTTTACGACTTTAGCGACATGAGGCCGAGCGTTGTCATGAAGAAGAATAACTTTATTATGTCTTTGCTCGCATTCTGACCGTTTTTCTCGCAATGTGCGACTCAAACGAATCAATTGTAGCCGATACCGATCGCCCGTAATGGAATCGCCAGGTTTCAGCAGCGTATAATAAACAAGATCCTTTTGGTCTACCAGGCAACGATTGACCACTTAGCGTAGTATTTTTTCTTCTTGGGGTTGTCGTAAAATATCCACTTCTTATCTCCAGTCACAATCCAATGCAAAAAACTTTTTCTCTGTTGTCTTTAAATCAGCTGTTCGCAAGTGAAAATCTTCTTTCAACGTCTCTCTTTCAGTTCATAAGACATCCAATTTCCTTGTTTTTGAATCATTCCCATGGCTCTCATTCGTACAGAAACGGCTTGTTGAGTTATCTCCCAATGATTTTGCAAGCTCCTCTTGTGTTTGACTCTCATCTTCTTCGAGTAATGCCTCTAATTCTTTGTCTTCGAATTTTTTTGACTGTCCAGAGCGAAG